CAGGGGAAATGAACCGTCTCTCCTACTTGTATGTATAGGTGGGTATGCATGCCAATTTGGATGAAACTGATACTACAAAGAAGGAAGTAAAAATTCTTCCTTTGATATATTAGCTGGGGGAGACAGGTTTATAATTGAAGATATTTTTTACAAATAGCCACCCTGGGAGGAAAGGAAAAGGGTAGGGAATTCTTTGCACCGTAACTTGGAAAATGGTTACGGTGCTTAGAGAGGCCCTTCGCGTAACCCAGGTATCATGAGAGAGTATTAGAATACATGCGCTCTAATTGTTGGTGAATCAGAGAACAAGGCTTTCAACACAACTGTGAAGAATTGTGACAGATTTCCAAGTGCTGATTCATTCAGCTAATGAAATATCACAACAAATGTGAGCTAGATGGAAACGCATAAGTATAGTTAAATGCCACGGCACCTCTGATTAACATGTGAATGCAGGCAGGTCCAAAATCAAATGATGTATCCTGTTCAGCCTTTATTTCATATCTTCTTGTACAAGTGAGTGCTTATTTCTTCATTCTTTATATATACATATTATTAGAGCTTAGTTGTTTGGAAAACATTGAGAAACAGTGGGAGACATTTGAACGAGGAGACAAGTGCTAGAATGACTTTGTTATCTGACCATCGATATTCTTCAATGTACTTTACCCACTGTGAATATTGTGCTAACTACTGTCAACAATAATTTGGGAAACTAATACAAAAATGTATAACAAATGTGTCGCTGTGAACTATTTTATTTGAAATGTTAATTGAAAAAATGTATAAAGACTGGGCTGCTTTGACTCTTTTATTCTGAAATGTTATAAGGACACGACTCATTGTAGCGGACATAATACCAGCAATAAGAAGCTAAATCCACATTCTAGTCATGTTGGACAGCTCTTCCAGTTCCCGTTGCTGACTAAAGCTTAGCATTCATCGTCTAGGCAAGACTCATACAAATAGTGGAAGTCCCAACTAGAGTAGAACCAATTATGAATGGAGAAGAATAAAAAAGACTTGACACTTTTGGATTGGTTTCAAACTACTTTAATGTAAACAGAGGGAATAAAAGGGGAAGAAATCTACCAAATCTGTGGTATAAAGTTATAAAAAAAATTAAAAGAATTTTAAAAAATACATTTATTCAAAATGCTGGAGTGTTGCAAAATTTACTGGCATGTAAAAATAAAGAGTTAATTTAGCTAAAATCTAGCAATCAGATAGTCCCTTGCCGCAGCACAAAAATCTTGTAAAATGCAAAAATATAGGATACCTTCCTTTACAACCTTGGCGTGTGTGCTCAAAATAATTCCAATAATAGCATAGCAGCCAGAGTGTGCCTCGGTTACAGCCTCCAATTTGGGGACACCAACTGGATAGTCAATCCATTTCAACATAAGATAAGATAATCAGGAAAACAGAGAAGTTGTGATGATACATCAACCATTGATCATTCTGTATTTGAAAAAAAATATTTGTTAAAAGTGGTCAAAAAACTGACATACAGTGGCAAGCTTTCAAAAGCATTTGTGCTGCAGCATTCAACGCGTTTCGTGTCAACTGACACTTTAGCAGCTTCACTCTGTCTCTGTCAGGAATCTTACCTGATGTGGGGTCCGGTATGCAGATATACGCTCACCCTTGCAAATAAACAAAGACCAAGGTGACCAGATAAGAAGCCACCTGGCCTGTGAGTCTGTGCATGGGGGCTGTGCAGGATATAGCTCCAAGTCGCAGTACAGGCAAGGACACAAGCAGGAGGATCTTCGAGCCAGAGTCAGAGGATGCCAGAGGTCAGGATAAACGAGCGTAAGCCAAGGTCAGAGGATGCCAGAGGTCAGGATAAATAAAGATAAGCTAAGGTCAGGAGCCGTCTGGAGAACACTGGATCAAGAACACAAATACAGGAACCAGAGTCAATGAACTGACAAAGTACCCAGCTAATAATGACCTGCTGCAGGTGAGCTAGATAGACAGAGCAGCCACGGGTAAAGTTCAGCTCCCTGTGCTGGAGACAAGGCGAGGATAAATATAAGGCAATAATAAGAACTGAAGTGGGGCACAGAGGCAAGATAGCAAGACTAGGACACAGATGGACCACAGTTCAAATCCCCTGTTGGGCACTTCTGGGGCGAACAAGTCTGGCCATCTGGATGTCACGGTGCAAACCATGACAGCCTCCAGGAGATCAAAAATACTCATAATTTTCATAGCCAATACAATGCTTCTCATTGAGACGTTGCATGGGTGACAAATGTCACACTGCTTCTCATGGTGCAGTAAAAGAAGGGCTAAAGGGTGATACAAGGCATGGAGAATATAGGACAGTGGGAGATTTGTGGCATGGGAAGTGGAGGGCTGTGAGGGGATATATCATGGGATCATGGAAAATGGGCTATGGAAAACATCTGACAGGGTGCTATTGGTTGTGGGCATATTTGGCATGAAGAATGGGTCTATGTAGGACATTTAGCATGAGGGAATGGACACACTAACTTTGTGCAGGGATAATCCCTACGGGAACGCATGGAAATGGTGTTCCTGTACTTTTCCCTCAGCAGGAACACCATTTCCACACCTAAATGCTCAGTGTCCAGGGGGCTGCTGGTGGTGAGGGAGCTCTGATTCATATGTGCATATGTCCTGTAATGATGTCAGGAGCCGAAATGTGATGTCGCAAAGACCTCCCTGCAGAGCTCCATTGCTGCTGTTCAGAGCAGTCCACATTGGACCCCAACAGCGCCGTAGGCTTCCCTGGCTCAGCCTGTCAGTCGACTGTACAAGACAGGAATCATTCATCAAGGGGCAGGAGGTTGATCTCTCAAAGTTCTGGAAGAACCCATCAATGCTGTCCTCACCATCCTCAAACATGTAAAAGCTGTGAATGGACACTTTTCACTTGGATCCCTCAGCTAGGGCCAGCCGGGGCGAGGTGGCTTGGTGCGATACCTCCCTGACTCTGCTCTCCTCTCAGACCACTATGGCCTCTACGGTGGTGGCCAATTTGCCCAGCAACATCTGATAGAATGGCAGCCCACTCCTAAAACTTCTTGGCCAGCTGCCCTTCTCGGGATGTAGGCACATCGGCCCCCTCTGGCACGGTCTCACAAAGCTCGTCAGCATTCAGTTGGTCTGCCAGCACTTCATCAACTACGCAGATTTTCTCTGCAGAGCTGGCCGCCTTGCCTCGGGTTAGTTCCTTAGCATGACTTAAACTTGCATGTATTCCAACCACGACCTCAGCAAAGAGACAAGGCTTATTGCCGGCAACTTCTAGGATCACTCTTTATTCCTGAAGCTCCCAGCTTTCTTAAAAAAAGCAACACTACATACAGGAAAATGTATTTATAAATTATTTACACCAATGAAAAATAGAGAGCTATTAATAATGCTATACTTGTCAATACCCACTTGGGATGGGAGACCTGACTGAGGGATGTGAATTAGGTTGTGCTAATTATCCCCAGGGGAGATCTGACATTCCAAAGGAAAGGCTAGTTCTCCACACCTCCATGTTAATAAACACTTCAAACTAAGTTTTTGTACAATATACAGCACCAAATCTAGTGTCTCTAAACACATGTTGTATTGCCTTAATTCCCTGTATATTCCTTATGGCATACAATGCAGTTGAGAGTATAAATAATAAATATACCAATGTTGTCACAGTTCCTAACCCTTATTATAGCTGGGCTGAGCTTATCCCATAAGCAATGATTTGTGTTCCAAGCACGATAGTCTCAGAGCTGCATTTGAATTGTCAACTTTTTGTTGCTCTGCAGAAGAAACTAAACTGCAAGTAGTACAAAGGAGAGAAAAGTGATTTAAAAATGGCGCTAGTGGTGTGGTAGTGCTGCTACGAACCATGGAATCAACCACTAAATCCCACCAAGTACAGATAATGATAAAACAAAAGAAGGTTCAGCGCTCTACAAATACACAATACAAGTGCAAGTAGATCTGCACTAAGTTTCCCAAGGTTCTAGGCAGGATATAAGTTTGGGGCACCCTACTCTGTGTGGTGTATGGGTTAGCTAAGTTTTGTGTGTGTGGAGGGGAGACTGAATGTTTTTGTGTGTGGTGGCTGGCTGTTGTGAGTGTGGAAGTAGCAGTATGGCAGTATGATTACAGCACTAGAAGGGTTAATTTGTCCGTGTTTAGCCAGACGAATCAGTCATTTGTTAGCAGAGCAGTAAAGGGTTATAGATCAGATTTAACATTCCTTTGGCAAGGTGTGTTAATTTACACCTACTGGACACACATGTTTATTCGTTCCTAGACTGGGCGACTCCACACATTTGTGCTGTTCTTGCTTAGCAGACCTTGGACCCTTTTTTTTTTTTTTTTTAAATATACTTCTTTATTTTCATTTTCACATATTTCACACAAAAGACGGAAGCACATACCAGACATTATAATTCAATGTTCGTATAACAAAAAACGGGGAAATCCGGAACACTCCTAGATGAAGAAACATCAGCAATGAGTTCAGCAGTCTAGTGATATATTAACATAAGAATCCCCTTGGGTGCATTAATATAACTTTAATCATTACTTAAGCTATAACTGGGCAAAACCGAAATATCATCTCAGGAGAAACTGGGAGGGGATATACTCTCAAAATAAGGGGAATGGGCACAGGAGATAAGAAACGAGGTGGATGGGGGGATATTCCCAAAGCCTGATCAGAATAGTGAGTTGGAGCAGAAAGTGGCACCAGCAATGATAGTAATACTCAGCATACTGGTGTTGGTCTTTAATGAGGCTGTTACCAAATATGTAAAGAGTAAGAGACAAGCATTTGGAGAAAGGTATGTAAAGAAGGAAAAGGTAAGGAACCAAGGACTATATATAAAAGTGACCAGGAGGGCAGAAGAGGAGGGAAAAGAAGAAGGGTGAAGAAAGGCTGAGATAAATTGGGAAAAAAGAGATGTGCCCAAGGTCACATTAGGCCCGGCCCTTTTGATATACTAATTACAGTACTGAGATAATTATCTGTTAAAGGAGCACTATAGCGTCAGGAACACAAACATGTATTCCTGACTCTATAGCGTTAAAACCATGATCTAGCCACCCTAGTCCCCTCATGCCTCCCTAAATATAGTAAACTCTTACTTTTATTCAAGTCTGCAGCTGCTTATTTTGTCCCTGTTTCCTTTAGACCTGCCCACTGCCTACTGACATTAGCAGAGGTGGTAGCCTGATCCAATCACAATGCTTCCCCATTTCTCCAGGATTGGCTGAGACTGATAAAGAGGCAGATCAGGGGCAGAGCCAGCACAATTCAAACACAGCCCTTTCCAATCAGCATCTCTTCATAGAGATAAACTGAATCAATGAATCTCTATGAGGAAAGTTCAGTGTCTGCATGCAGAGGGAGGAGACACTGAATGTTTTGATGCATTTTAGGCAGCAATGACCCAGGAACGCTCTCTAACAGCCATCTGAGGAGTGGCCAGTGAAGTTATCACTAGGCTGTAATGTAAACACTGCATTTTCTCTGAAAAGACAGTGCTTACAGCAAAAAGCCTGAAGGTAATGATTCTACTCACCAGAACAAATGCAATAAGCTGTAGTTGTTCTGGTGACTATAGTGTCCCTTTAAGGGTCAAAACCAGAAAATAATAATAACAATCCAGAGATGAATAATCATACCTGTTATACATAGTCACAGAACCAGAATGAGGAAAGCATGTCCGACAAAGTAAGTTCAAACATGACTAGAGCAACTTGGGCAGTTTTGGGGAAACTATTTTAAACCATATACAGGTCATAAGGGATATCTATGAAAAGGATAAATTGTGATCATTCCACTGTTGTAAAAACTATTTTTGTGTCTGCTATACTGCGAGACATAAACAAGTTCTTTTTATAAATTCCTTTGTATAGATTGGTGTTTAATCAGGCCAAAAGGTGACAGGGGATGTGTAAACAAGCTAGACTTCTTACAGTTATGCCTTCGACTGCCCCCTTCCAGGTCAGTTTAGAAGCCTCAGCTGGGGTGAAGGGTATAAAGTCCAATCAAATAAGAAAATGTGCTTGGTGGGAGTCAAATCTAATTTGGTTGAATTGCCACTTTGAGTAGTTAGGATTTTCAGTTAATTTCTCCTTGTTATGTTTAACTTTTGTTGGTGACACTAATTTGTTTATCTATTTTTTATGCATGTGCTGTGACTATTTTTTCGTTCATAATACATGCTCATTTATTAAGTTCTGCATTTGTCTGTTAAAGAAATCACATTACCTGAAGAGACCCATTTGATAGTATGTTAGTTACAGCCTATAGACTATAAGCTCGTTTGAGCAGGGCCCTCTTCAACCTATCGTTTCTGTAAGTTTTCTTGTAATTGTCCTATTTATAGTTAAATCCCTCCTCTAATAATATTGTAAAGTGCTACGGAATCTGTTGGTGCTATATAAATGGCGATGATAATAATAATAATAATAATAATAATAGATGTTTTGCTAGCTTGTATTTGGGATTGTTAATTTCATTTGCTTTGCGAACCAAGGTATCACAGTGTATATTCACTGAAATCAGAGGCAGGTGTGATGGTATTCACCCATGAGTACTTAAGGAACTAAGTGTGGAAATAATCTTTTAGGAATCAAACTGGAGGATTGGAGAAAGGCAAATGTGATTCCAATATTCAAAAAAGGTTCAAATTCTCTACCTGTAAATTAAAGATCTGTGAGCTTAAACTCTGTGGCTACGAATGTATTTGAACGGTCATTAAGGAATAATATTCAGGAATTCATTGAGAACAACAATGTCATTAGCAGAAATCAGCATGGTTTTATGAAACACAGATCAAGTACGTAGAAGTATAGGTCAAGGTGTTGCAGTAGATGTGATATCGTTGGATTTTGCAAAGGTATTTGATACGGTTCCACACAATAGCCTAGTGTTCAAATTAAAAGCAATTCGTTTAGATGAAATGTTCTTGGGTAGAACATAGGGTTAAAATTGAGTGTTGTCATTGTTGTCACAGAGAGTTGTCATTAACACATTTTCAAGCTAGACAAAAGTGGTCAGTAGTGTCCCTTAGAATTCTGTTCTGGAACCACTTCTATTCAACCGTTTTATAAACTATCTTGAAATAAGCAATAAAACTCATATTCTAGCATTTGCAGTTGATCTAAAATTAGGAAGGGTAAAACCTGGTGAGCAGGTATTACTTTGCTGCAGAGGGATCTCAACAGATTAGGGACTGGGCAATCCAAAGGCAGAAAAAAATTATTATAGATAAATGCAAAGCTATGCATTTTGGGTGAAGAATGCACACACAACTTACATCCTAAATGGTAGTCAGTTAGGGAAAACAACATATGAGAATAATTTGGAAATGTTATAGACAACAAACTAGGAAACAATGTCCAATGTCAATCAGTAGTTGCTAAGGCCACTAAGATATTGTCATATATAAAAAGGGACTTTTATTCTCAGGATAAAATTATAAATTTGACTCTTTATAAATCGATGGTAAGACCACACCTAGAATATGCTGTGCAATTTTTATACCTGTTCTAAAGAAGAAATTTATGGCATTAGATAAAGTGCAGTACTAAACAAAAGTTTAAATAAACGGCATCTTATAGTGGCTATTATAACTTTATACAAATATAACCATTCAATACATACCATTGTCTGGAATCTATTCAGACATACAACAAGAGGTCACCCATTTAGTCTAAAATGAGAGTTAGTCTTAGGCAAAGGAAAGGGTTTTTTACAATAAGAACATAAAGGATGTGGAATTTTCTGCCTGAATAGGTGGTTTTATCAGAATCTGTAACGATTTTTAAATAGTGACTGGATAAATTCTTGCAAAAGGATACAATATTTTAACAGTTTCTTGGTTCAAAGAGAGATCCAACTGCCATTCTGGGGTCGATCAGGATTTCTTTCCTAGTTTAGGAAAAAGCTTCAAACTGTTTTTTTCATGTTGCCTTCTTTTGGAAGAACAGAAGAAACAGATGTAAGAAAGCTGAAGTTGATGGACACAACTATTTTTTCAACCTATGTAACTATATAACTGTATGTAATTTGCCATAGTGGTGATAGCTTTTGAAATTAGAGTAAAGGGTTAAGTGGTATCTTTTATCATGATTTTTTGTCTAGTGCTGACAAATAGTGATTTTTAGTTCTTTCACCCCCAGAACAAAATAGTGTGTGCCGTGATGCACACAATTGTTGCCCTTTAGTGCTTCACTCCAAGGGATATTAATAATATCAAATAAAAAACACGACTAAAGACAACAGAAAATATGAACTCTAGCTTGTACTAGTTTTGTTTACTCAAGATATATACTTGTTTGAGTTGTAAGTGCAAACAATAAACGTATACAGCTTTCCTAAACACTTCCTGTAAAGAGTCATCTAATCATTACACTATGTTTAATTTAGAATTTTTTATTTCTTGCTCTGTTCATAGCTTGCTAGGCCCTGCAGACGCCTCCTGTATGTAATTAAAGTTTAATTTACAGAGCAGGAGATAAACACTTTTAACCTCTTAAGGACGGCGGGTGTGCTATGCCGTCCTTGGGGACCTGGCTCAAAACACAGGGGGACAGCATAGTATGTCCCCGCCGTCCAGGGGACTTACCTGCTCACTGGCGATCCTCCGTCTGCGATCGTGATTGGAAGACTTACCTGGTATCCCAGGGAGTCCCACTGCTGCTGATCAGGCCCTCTTGGGCCATGTGATCGCAAGGCTCTGCATTCATTCGTATGCCGCATGCATGGAAACAGGTGCATTATTGACCCTACACCCCGGACCCATAGGATGTACATCATTGCGTTCCAGAGTGAAACACACGCCGACAACCAGGTGAAACGGATCTACATGGATGGCTGGCATTATAAGAAGTCCCCATTGCGATGGATACACACACATGCCTGAGGAAGTCCTTTGTTTACCAAATGAAACGCGTTGGATTTTTACAATATATTATGGACTTTTATGGATTTTATTTTGTATATTTCTTAAATTTTTGGGGATGTTTTCTTTTTTGGCCTATCTTCCACTTCACTGTTTTGGTACTCTAAGACAACACCACGCTGCTGCTCAGTTCCACTATCTGTGGAGATATGCCCATGATTCTTTCTAGTTTGTAAGTGCAATCAAACAAATGTTTCTTTGGTTTTAATGATACCTCACTATGTGCAGTCTTTTTCTTTTCATATGTTTTATCAATATATCTATGTAACGGACCGTTTTGCACAAAAGGGGAAAAAAACGCTTAGACGATAATCCCCCTTTCAGAGTCAGGCACAGCTACTGTATAATCACCAAAACTCACGAACCGCCAATAAGTGAATGCTCCAAACTCCCGAACGGCATACAAGGGAATAAGGTAGCACTTCAAATAAACGAACAGGAACCATACGAATAGCTGCTAGCAGGCGAACAGGAAAAGCTTCCAAGCGGCTTACACTCCTGGCAATCAGTCCTTAGCAGCATACAGTAAATCCCCCCAAAGACGAGACAAGGCTCCGTGTTGAGGGTCAAGCAGTGGTCTGTTTAATGAGGGCTACCTGCCCAGTATTTATGCAGGTCTCCCACCTGGTGGACACTCCCCTAGGGGACCAAATGGGAGACTGTGACAAAAGACAGACAAGTATACAAATAGGACACACAGTCACAGTATATTCCCACAATGCATCCTGGCTTCCTCCCCTCTGCCCTGGGAGATAATTGGGAAGTAACTCAATTATCTCCCACGACAAAGGCAAAACTCCATTACACACGTGGGAACACAAAACCAGCATAATACTTTAAAATGCACAAAGTAACATTTACTACATTAAACACAGACATGTAACATATCCCCAGATAGCTCAGGTCTGAGTGCACATTATTAGGTGAATGGCACTCAGACTACACGAATACAGTTCAATCGCCATGGAGCCAAAGTCTTTACAGTCAGTTTCATACGAATGGGCTCCATGGGATTCCTATCTGGGGTATAAGACATTCACACAAAAATACCAAACACCGGGTCATTCGTGTGCTTTCACCGAACAAGAAGGGAGGTCGGCGGCTTCAGCGGTGTTCGCGCAAAACTGTGTCCGATTTTAGTTCCATGAAAATAGAGGCGAACACCGCTGTTCATTCGTATGGTTTAAAATGGCCGCGACCTCGTGTTCGGGATACGAACGGCGGCCACCCAGCGTTCATCAATTAAGCTGCGGTTAACCGCAGCTTCAGGGAGGTTAAT